CACCCCTTCCTGTGGCTGGCCGGGTGTATAAACTGCCCCAGCCACTTTGGAAAACATTTTAGTAACATCTCTTAAACCTGAAGACAGGCTGAACTGGTAACCCAGCTCTTCCTCTCCCAGGATGAGAGCCATGAGAAGTCTTGCATATGTGCCCTGGGGGGTGGCCACAGGAATCCCCAAATGTCAGTCAACATTATGGGTAAACATGTAAGAAAAAGAAAAAAGTCTGACCAGCCAGTGGCAAGGTGGTTAAGGCAGCTGGATCCTACACGGTTGACTGCACGGTTTGGATCCTGGATATGCGGCTTGAAAAATAATGGTGGGTGCTTGTGCATGTGTGTCAAAAACCCCAGGGAATTGGGATTCCAAGGAGGAGAAGGTATTGTGGCGTGGCCATTCCCCCTGGGGGTGCTTTACATATTCTCTCCCTTCCTCTGGTGTGCACATGAGCCTTATAGCAAAAACAAAACAAAACAAAACAAACAAAACAAAAACAGTAAACAGATTGGGAAATGGACATACCACAATAGGTTTAAAAGAAAATAAAAGAAGTCATAAGTCATAGCCGTAACGTATGAATCTTGTAAGTGTAATGTTGAACGAAGACAGCAGACATCAAGAAGCACAGACCACATGATTCCATTCACACCCGTGCACGAGCAGGCCACACAATCATACGGGTTAGTGAAGCACACGTGAGTAGAGAATGAAGTAAGTAGCCAACTATGAAGACAAGCAAGAAATGATTATCGCGAGAGTTTAGATACTGACTATCTGTAATGGGCGGTGGGTTGTGACCAGGGAAAGGCACATGTGAACTGCATCGAGTGGTGGGCTCAGCCTGTCTGACTACAGATCTGTTTTCTTTCCTTTTTTTGTTATTTAAAAAAAAAACTTTTTTGCCATCAGGTACTTGTGCTTGCCAGTTAGAGACAGTGGGAGAGAAAGTGAGAAATCATCCCCAGAGAGAAATGGCCATGCCATAATTCCTTCTTCTCCATTTTCCTCCTGGGGTTTTGGGCACATAGGTCCAGCATGATTTTCAAGTCACCAGGTCCAGGACTTAAACCCCTATTAGCCGTGTGGGAGTCTAAAGCTTTAACCACTACAGCACTTGCTGGCCCCCAGATCTGTTTTCTAAATAGTATCCAGTGCTGCCTCTCAGAGTCACGGAGGGACACTGAAGCCACTGCTGGCAAGGCAAGGGAGCCAGGTGACCTCCAGGTGGCTGCTCAAGTCGATAACCTATATTTTCCATGAACTTTTTTGAAGTCCCCTTTTGTGGCCAGGAGGGCAACTGCAGATCATCAGGGGAGCTTCAAACTTCAAACTTCATTAGCATATGCCACACTTTTCCATATGTGAATTCCCAGCAGCAGAAAACGAGGGCTCCCTGCTGCACACTTCTTTGGTATCCACAGGCCTTTGAACTTGCCTGTAGGCTCATTGTGACCTAATAGGTCCCACTTACTCTTGTTTTTGGAGAGTTCCCCCCCCCCCCCATAGGGCACGTGTGCTTGCCAGACAGACAGAGACAGACAGAGAGACAGAAAGCGAGACATCACCACCCCCGGGGGAATGGCCATGCCGCAATCCCTTCTCTTCCGTTCTCTTCTCGGGATCTTGGGCACGCATGCACACGTGCCCAGCGTGAGTTTTAAGCCACTGGGTCCAGGACTCAAACTGCGGTCGACTACGTGGGAGTCCAACGCCAGCCATTACACTAACTGCTGGTCCCTAGGTCCCACTTACTCTTGACGTCCAGCTGGGCGGCATACTTGGTGAACCCCTTCAGGCAGACCTTCTCACCCACCAGGGCCAGGAACTCCTCAAAGGCAGGGCCCGCCTCCTCGTTGTTGTACATCTCCTCCTCGGAGCTTTGTCCCGCCTTACAGTAGAGGATGCCCACCTTGTGCTTCCGGCAGAGCTGCAGGGGTGAGAGCGGCTTTCTGGAGACGGGCCGGGCAGAGGTGGCAGAGGGAAAGGGACGAGGGGTATTTCCAAATGGTCAGCCCCAGGAGCTGACCAGGGCCCACTCAGGAATTCAGAGCCACAGTCAGTGATGAAGGAGAAAGGCACTGGGGCAGGTCCTAGTGTCCCTCTTTCCTTCCCTCCAGAGAGGCACAATAGGGCACTCCTGCTGCTTGTTCTACGGTGGCAGAGGGTGACAGGCGATACCACTCTTGAGGGAAGAGACTGCGGCCTAGGCTGGCTTCCCCTAGCACATGGACTGGGAGGGTGAGATTCTGTGGAAGCACAATCTAGAAGGCTCAGGGATTAGAGTCAACACACTTTTAGGGGGTGGCTCCCCAGTAAGCATGCTTGTTTTAGGTATCCCTGACTGTCTGAGGGACACTGGGGACTGGACCAGTGACATTCATTCACCTGATGCTCTCTGTGACAGAGAGCCAGCTGGTTAGGCCCACCCCTCATGACCAGTCCTCTCACAGCGGTGCAGGAGGCAGTCGGAGCCAGTGTGCACAGAACACACACACAGACACACACAGGCACACGTGCACACCAAGTGGCCCACACAGAGAGAGAAGCAGGAGTGGGGGCTGCAAGTTCCTACCCCAGCACCCCCCACCTGATGCCCCCGGCTTACCCCTTGCTCATCGAGCTTCAGGAGTTGCTCCGTCACCTTGGGGGTGTTAAGAGCCAGCCGCAGGCAGTGGATGTTGAGCTCGGGGATGACATACTCCAGGGCATCCTTCAGGGGCAGGCCCCTCCCGGTCCCATGCTTGGTGGCTGTGGGCGTGGCATCTTCTAAGATGGAGCCCCGCAGGGTGATGAGCTGCTCAAGGGAGAGAAGGGCAGGGTTAGGAGTTCTGAGGACCTAGAAAGGCATGAGAGAACAGGAGGGGTCCTGTTTCAAAGAGCTAGGGGCTCTAAGGTCAGAACGCCCCACGGACTGAGTCAGGACTTGAGCTTGCCTGACCAAGTGACTTCCTACCTCTGGGCCTTGACTTCCTCTTCTGCGAAATGGGCACAGCGATAGTGTCGCAACCCCAAAGGAAGGATTATGAGACAATGGACATAAAATAGCCCGTGTGCTCAGCATGTACTAGCTGAGGGCCTCTTGCATGTCAGTCCTGTTTCAGGGGCAATGAACATGACCACGAGCCCTGTCTTGTGGATCTGATATTTGAGTGGGGGAGACAATGATGCTGAATAGTAGGAAGTGCAATGAATAACAGGCTCCAGGGACCAGCAGATGGTGTAGTGGTTATGTTGCTGGACTCCCATGTAGTCAACTGCAGTTCAAGTCCTGGACCCAGTGGTTTAAAACTCACGTTGGTGTGTGTGCCCAAAATCCCAAGAGGAGAATGGAGAAGAAGAGACTGCGGCATGGCCATCCTCCCTGGGGGGGGTGATTTCTTGCTTTGTGTCTCTGTCTCTCTGGCGAGTCCATGCATCCTATAGCAAAAAAAATTCTCTCTAAAAAAAAAAAGAACAAAACAGGCTTCACGAGGAGGAAGTGGACCCTCACTGCCATCATTACGGTAATAGTACACTGTGAACATGTGACCATAAATGCTCATATGACACATCTGCCAGCCCTGGATACTGCTACCATCTTGGATCTTGAATGGTGGCACTGATTTTCAACTAGATTTATAGACGTATTCCCACAAATGATTCTTTTTTTTGGGAAAGGTTTTTGCTATAGGGCGTGTGCGCTCGCCAGAAAGACAGA